GAAATCAACATCAAAATAAATATGATTGTATGAAATGAATTGTTACATTTATGGAAGATATAGCCTACACATAATATTTTAAACAAATGTACAACTGCACAAAGCATTCTTAAGTGAATGCAATATGTTGAATAAAACATCATCTGTATAAAAATGTCTCTTATCTTTTATCTCTTACATGATCTGTGTCACTTTACGATCATCGTTAATGTTCCTGAACGGTCGGATGGGCGAATGTTAAATGTTGAGGCCGCAAGGAATTGTGGGGCGGTATATCTCATCTCCTTTGGTAAAGGATGGTCCAGTGTATCCTATGCTAAAGGAGGTTATAAAGGACCCACCTTTCCTTAACTTTTAGAGAATTCGAACGGCTCTTATCATGGCCGCCACTTAAATGCTTCTGGGGTTAAGGTAAAGTGGATAGTGAAAGGAGATAGGAGGGACAATTCGAACGCACCCCTGATCTGATGAACTTTTCTTCAAAACTCTGGCCCTTTCCGAATAGTCACAGTTCAGTATGCAGTACTTTTCAGTAGGGAGTTTCAGTGTACTGAACTCTCGTGGTCATTTTTCATATCTGCCTACTGTGTGCGCCTACTGAATAGTAGGTACTAACAGTATACAGCACGGATAGTATGTACTGCCTACTGCCAGATTGAGTAGGTACTTGGCAATTTGGATACAGCCTCTGGCTCTCTGGTGTCTCTCATCACCATACAACTCAACACTGCCCCTAGTGGTTAAACTTATATTGCAGACTGGTAGCAGGATACCCGAGGTCCTGCACTCAGGTGGTTAAAAGCCATGATTCCCTGCTGGCCACGACGTCATCTTTTATTATTGTTTTGATTGAGAGCCCACTGGTGGTGAATCTACATACTGCATCTTTAACATAAAACAACAGAAACATGATTCATCATGGGGTGGAAATCAGGATTATTTATTTATCCAATCAGAAGTGAGAAAGTGAGTCTGTGCCTCTCTACCATCCCTAATGTCTTTTTCTCCACCCTGTGTTCCCACAGTCTGCTCCGACAGAGACCGCCTCTTCTATTTACGACTTCTCTGCCACAGACATCGACGGCAACGTGGTCTCCCTGGAGAAATACAGGTACGTCTATTTATGACACAGAATCTGCCTTCATATAAAAACCTCAAGGTGCTGTCGCTTTAAGATTCTGTGTTTTTTTTGTCTCTTTGTTTTATTTTCAGGGGAAATGTTGTCATCATCACCAACGTCGCCTCCAAATGAGGAAAAACCCCGGTGAACTACTCTCAGTTTGCGGAAATGCACGCCAAGTACGCTGAGAGAGGTTTACGCATCCTCGCCTTCCCTTCCAACCAGTTTGGGAACCAGGTACGGAGCACAGCGACCTGAAAGACTCAGACTTTTTTAAACTAAAGGCCCGTTTCCACCAGGCGGTCCGGCTTGGTTCAGTCCGCCAATAAATTCAACAAAGAAGAAGAACACGACACAGTTAACAAATATTAATGATTCTTAGGAAGGTCTGCATCTCCGAGGTCAACCATGGGGCGGAGCTACATGTTGACAGAAGTCATAAAAAAATCAAACATCCTCTGAATTGCTTTCTTGGAATTCACAAGGTATTTAAACATGCCGTGTTTTATGTTCGTCCTTTATTACAGCTGTCATACAGGAAGTGACGATTCTTTCGACCAATCAGTGGGCAGCAGAGTGTCTAGCTCCACCCCTTTAGGGTCGGGATTGCTTATTTTGGTACCATTCCAAACCTGAGATATGTGTACCGTACTGAACTGAACCGCGTGGTGGAACCCGGGCTTTAAGAGACAGATTAGTTTAAACTAGGACTGGGCAACGATTAAAAGTTTTAATCGCGTTAATCGCATGAGTTCCTGTGATTAATCACGATTAATCGTATTGTTATACGCAAAATCCAATAATGAATTAAAAAGTAGTGTATAGCGCACTTTTATTGTAAATGTACTTCTCAACTTAAACAATGTAATCAAAGCAAATAAATACAAAACTAAAGCTTATTGCATTGGTTGCAGTCTGGACGCAGAGTGGTGTGGGTCTCCTCTCTGACTGCAGCTGGGTCTGCTGCGCGAGCCTACACTGACAGCCTGTGATGCTTTAGGAAGGGGGAGGGGCTCACGGCAGCACCCGCTGCTCGTTGAGGACAGTAACTGCAGAGCAATACGTGCTTTCACGTCAGTTTCTTACACCAAAAAAGTCTCCAATAACACCAGAAAAAGTTGCCAAGGGAGTTTGGAAAGTCGCCAGATTTAGCAAGAAAGTCGGCAAGTTGGCAACACTGTTTCCTCTTTCCTGTGAGCGCCGCAGCAGACATGCGCAGCAGTAAGCAACATACGAGGCTCGCTCACGATGGAATTTTACAAAATAAAAGCCAGTGAGCAACAGACTTACAATAAGAAAATAAATAATAAAAACTGCGTTAATGCGAGATAAAATAATTGTCGGCGATAATTAATTAATGAGTTAACGCGAAAATAACGCGTTAACGTGCCCAGTCCTAGTTTTAACTGATTAAGATGGACATCTTTTTTATCCAACTTTTGTTTTAGCAGCAGATTTTTAGTAGTTAGACTTTAAGACTAGGGATGAACATCGGGCCTCATTCAGTACAAACTCAAACTAAGGTTCTCAAACTGTGACCATGACATCTCTCACTTTGTTTTCCTCTGCAGGAGCCCGGCACTGAGGCTCAGATTAAGCAGTTTGCCGGATCCTACAACGCTCACTTCGACATGTTCAGTAAGATCGACGTGAACGGAGCCGGCGCTCATCCTCTGTGGAAGTGGCTAAAAGAGCAGCCCAACGGGAGAGGCTTCATGGGGAAGTAAGTGCAGGACGAGTGAACATCTGAACTGTAGGGCCAACAGTCCGAGATTCATGAACTAACATGTGTTCTTTCTCTTCATTCCTGCAGTAGCATCAAGTGGAATTTCACCAAGGTAAATATTTCTCTTTATCTGTGGGTTAGAGTTCAGAACGCTGACATTAAAGGTGACATATCCTCCTCCTCTTCAGTTTAAATAAGTCTCAGAGCTCCTCTAAACATGTGTGTGAAGTTTCTTGTTCTAAATCCACTCTGATCCTGTATTTGATCATGTCTATAAACCCCTCTATTTCAGCCCTGCTCAGAACAGGCTGTTTCTGTGTCTGTACCTTTAAATATGTAAATGAGCTGTGTCTGACCACGCCCCCTCTCTGGAAGGACTTGTGTGTCTCGGTCTTTCTCGCTCCATGTCCTATTGTTTATGGTGAGAAGGCAGACTCACAGGGCAGAACAAACACCTAGCTGTGGGAGTGTCACCCACCTGGGGGAAGGGCTACTGCCCTTTGTGATGTCATGAAGGGAAAATCTCCAAACGGCCTGTTTGAGCACACATTTTCTGAAAAGTGGAGCAGGCAGAAGACAGAGAGGATGGACTTTTCTCATCATTGGGGGGTTTGTAGACGGACTAGAGACACATATTAGAGTTAGAGGAACATGGGGAAGTGGATTCTGCAGAACATGTGACCTTTAACATCGTCTCTGTAGGATTTACAGAATGCTAAGCAGAGGCTCTTGTTCTACAAGAAGTGTGTGAAAGCTTTTGTTTTTGTGCTTAATTCTGAAAGTAAAACAACATATTTGTTCATAATGTTTTAATTTGTTCCTCTAGTTTTTGATCAACAGAGAGGGTCAGGTGGTGAAGAGATATGGACCCCTGGATGATCCAAGTGTAAGTCTCACAGGATGTGTTCATGTAGCTGTGACACCACATGTGTGTAATGTTCTGCAGCTGATCTCTTCTACTGTCGCTTCCTCTCCAGGTGGTTGAGAAGGATCTTCCCCGATATTTAGACGTCTAACAGCTGATTGAAGACTCACCTCCTGATACTCCATCGTCCTGTTATCTCCTTTCTCTGCCTCTCCGAGTACCAGCAGACCAAGCTTGTTTTCCAACCCCAGATCAGTGACGGTCTGTTCATAAACCCGCATGGCGGACTGAGCAGACCTGATGAAAATGGCGTGCAAACCTCCTGGGAGGATACTCAAGCTTGCGTCTGTTTGGTTCTCTGGAGAAAAGGAGGAAGGATCCATTAAAGTGTCTTGTAGGAGATTTAAGTGTGGGGTAATGTTTCTTAATAAAATGCACTGAGGTTTAGTTCTGTGCTTTTGTCTGTTTTATTTAGTTATCATCATTTTTCAGGGTGTGCATGAATAGATGTTTAGTCCTGAGATATTGATCATTCTGCATCATGGTGACGAGAGATGATCCATTCCTGTGCTCTCCAAGAATGAAAGTGTGTTTGAGTGTCAGAAAACGATGGAGCACGGGAGCCTAAAAGTCACATATCCTCCTCCTCTTCAACCAGTTTAAATAGGTCTCAGAGCTCAAAACATGTTTGTGAAGTTTCTTGTTCTAAATGCACTCTGATCCTGTATTTGATCATGTCTATAAACCCCTCTATTTCAGTCCTGCTCAGAACAGGCTGTTCCTGTGTCTGTACCTTTAAATATGTAAATGAGCTGTGTCTGGTTATAGAGTACCTGAACTCTGGAGACAGACAGTCCTGAATGTCAGTAAGACAGAGGAGAAGGTGTTTGACCCCAGGGGGGGTCGGGCCTGTGGTCACTATCAAACAGGTCACCTCCTATAAATATCTGGGTGTTTTTATTGACCATGCAGTGACCTCACACATTTCTAAAATCAAAATGAGTGACATTTCCAAGTTTAGGCTCTCCCTTTAAAGGAGCAGTGTGTAAGTGACATCTAGTAGTTAAAATGGGTACTGCAGTGTTTATCCAGCTCTGCATGGATCTGTAAACCTTTCTGTGTTCTAACCTCTCTCCATTTTTCAAAAGCATCTCCAATATTGATCCTAGTTTGAGCACGTTTCTGCTCGTGGAGCTTATTAGAAACATGCAGAGGCTTTTTAGGTCGGGTACAATCACTTCTATCTGAACCACTTCTCTTGCCCACTTCCATCGCTGCAACACCTGTTGGTTTGACCTCATAACTGCTCTCATATCTGACAAACCGAGGGGTGAGCATGTTTCCTTTAATGATATAGTTAACCATGAAACACAGCATATTATAGAACATGAATTAAATATCATATAATAAATCATGTAGTTTATCCTCACCTGTTTGTGCGTCCTCAGGTTCTGGCTCTGCAGCAGCTGGAAAGTTTGACACTTCAGTTATCGCCCTGAATGACATCACCACATGAATATGACCACAACATGTCACACATGCAGGGGCATGTCCAGAGGGGTGGCATGGGCCCCCCCTTGAAATCTGGTTGTCCACCCCAAAGCTAAATTATTAGCTATTTTCCTGGAGAGTTTTTCTTTTGTCTCTTTTTTTGCCCTTTATTGTTCTTGCCTGCCCCCCTGCCACATCCTCTGCTGTAGGATTATGAGCCATACTGCTTCTCTTTGGACAATTAACCCCCTCAAGACCAGCTCCTGGGTTTGTTGTGTTGCACTTGGGTCCGGCCATTAGTGGCATCTTAACAGTATTACTCATAACCGAGAAAAATACAATGGCTAAGGAGAATCCAATGTTACGCTAATGTTGCCTGTAAAGGACCCAGAAGTCTGTTGAAGTGTCTATTTTTATTTGAAATGTATTTTTTTGTGATAAAAGGTTTGTGATAACTTCCTGTTAGTTACATCAAAAAGACGGATGCTCTTATTTTGAAAGGATAATGACAGGAAGTGAAGATAAAGGGAACGTCTAGGGACACAGTGAAAACTGCTTGCATGCGGGTTCAAAACGATAATTACTACGGTGACTTACTTTGATTAAAGAGGACATATTATCCTCCTTGTCCACTTTTTCAAACAGTCCCCTGTGGTCTAAATGAAACATCTGTGCTGTGCTTTGTTCAAAATATAACATGAATCAAGCACCAGAGGAGGTTTGTGACCCTGTATAAATAGTATACATCACTCCTCTGTAGAGATAATAAAATGGCTGACCTGCTCTAAAGTTTTGCTCTAGACTGGGGGTGGAGTCAATGGAGATACCAGGGGAGGGGAGGGGATTTTCTTTTTTTACCAGAATCCCACTGTGATGTCATAAGGAGAGCACATTTGAAACAGAGCATTTCGACTTACAGCATACAGACCACAAACAAAGGACTGGATGGGTTTATTTCACATTTTGTGGGTCAGTAGACACTCAGGTTACCCTAATATATGATCAAAAACACAGTACAAGTTTTCATAATATGTCCCCTTTAAGTACCCCGCTGTTTGAGGCACGAGGTTTGTTTTGATTTTGTTTTTGATAAGGAGTTACTTAATAAGTGCATTTTGTAGCAGAGAGTAGTGGCTGTAAATACAAACTGTTGGTTTAAGTTCAGCAGGACAACATTAGTACGAAGTGTGGCTTCATCTAGTGACTGAAACACATCACTGCAGCTTTACAATATTATCAAAAGACATGAAGACATCTTTCTCTTTAACAAACACGAGTAGTGTTTCAGACGAAACCTCTCGTAGTTCTCTTGATTTAATCCTAAAATCTAAAAAAGGACAGTGGAGTAAATATGGAAATAAAAAGGCCTATGATCTATGCCCTACTACAAATAACCATGAAACCAAACATGCTGTTAATGTAGATATTAAAACGTTTAACTCTATACAAACCTTTCATGTAAATACTGTTCAACTCCACCTCATGTACATTAACCCGTCTGTCACATCATAAAAAATGTTTTATTATCATGTTGATCTCTGATGTTGCACTACTCACCACTGCACTATTGTCTCGTTTATTTTAGTACATTTATACATCACTGCTAACCTGCTGTTAATGTGACAACAAAGAGCAGGGATCATCAGCGTATAAAGAAATCTCATCACATCTACGTGCTTTGTTCTTTCTTATAAGTCGTAGGTGTTTCATATAAAAGACACAGATGATCAAGAGGATTTATTTAGACTCTAAACATTATAAATAATGATGCATTATTGAAGGTCAGGGGTTTGTAACAACATCCATCAGAACACAACAGAAGCTTCAGTTCAGTCCTTCTGTGGTGATGAATACATGTTATGAATCACATGAGCAACATTTCAATGTAAATATTTTCTTATCTTATTGTAGTTCTGATGGGTCTCTTTTGTGAACCATCTTGATCGACTGGTTGATTGTCCGGCTGCTCGGTGGTGAGGTGGTTAGCTCTACTTTCTCACAGCAACAAAGTTCTCCACTCTCACAAAGATCAATAAAAACAAGCACTTTGGCTCCAACACCTGTGATTGACGCCCAGTGCAGGGTGTATCCCCGTCTCTCGCCCAACTGCAGCCCACCCCAACCCTGATCCTCCCCCCCAACCCTGACCCTCCCCCCCTTTTTCCTCTCTTATCAGCAGATTAAATGACACATTTATCAAAGACCAGTGGCAGTTCTAGACCACTTTTACTGAGGGGGCCAAACTGGGGCCAGTTGTTTTGTCAGAGGGGAACATTAAACCCAGGTGAAAATAAACAAAGATGATCGCTTTAAAAATATATATATTATGCCAAATAATAGCACACGTCATCAAATACCATGATTTATATTTGTTTCTGTAACAGAATTTAATACTAGATTGTGAGTCCGGTTGTTGAGTCAAATACTAGGGGGGATCTTCCTTTTGGAGGGGTGGCCACAGGGGGGACCAAGCCCATTGTTACAGGGACACTGGCCCCTGTTGGCACCTGCCTAGAACCACCCATGACACAGAGAGCCAGTCCAGCTGAAGCTGCCAGTAGTTCCAGTCCAGCGTAGAGGCCAGGTCTTCCTCGACTCTCTGTTCCTGGTCTCGCTGTTGGTCTCTGAGTTTCAGGCTCATGAGAAGCTGCTGTGAAGGAAAACAGATATTTACTACAACATTAAACTGTGAACAAGCAGATGTCAGGAAGAATGAATCTGAGAGAAGATCAAACTACCACATAAAAGAATGAAATGTCAGCTGAAACTTCTTGATGATCAGTCGGTCCTGATCCAGACCCTGGTTTTTAATAAACTACTGAGATCTACTGTGTCTACTTACCGGTCATATTAAGGCTGCATTCACCACGACTAGCATCGTACTTCATCTTCATGTCACACACGTATTGCCCCGAGTCTTCAGTCCTTAACGAGGACACGTGCAGTCTGAGTCGTCCTTCTTTGAGGACGTCTTTGTCACAGTGGACTCGTCCTGCAAAATGTTTGTGCTCAGACGCTGGGACCTCGACTCCTCCCATCAGTTCAAAGAGTCTGGAGACTTTGTGATCAGTGACCATCAAACATAACATACGAAGAGAGTGAAGTGAGCGGCCATCTTGGGGTGTGAAGGACCACTCCAGCATGATGCTCTGGTTCTCCTCTGCTTGATAGAAGCTCTGAGTCACGTTCACTTCAAATGTTCCTGCTGAGGAGACACAGAGGGAGAGAGAGGAACATGAAGTCTTTGTCTCTGCAGTCTGAGGGCGCGGTCACACTGGCCATCCGTACCGTGCTGTACCCAAGCACGATTGCCCCCCCGCAGCACCATTCCCCCGCGGGCCGTGCCGGTCAGCGGTCACACTACACAGGACTATCCGTGCCTAAGCACGATTACCTCTTGTACATAACGTCTTAATACAACACATGCACGCTTCATGCTATTATGAAGCGTGCTCAGTTTACAAACAGGCAGACGAGAGAGAGAGAGAGAGAGTGAAAAAGAGACGAGCAGTCGAGTCTGCACATCAGAGAACAACACAGAGCATGACAGCTGCTTTACTGACTTTACAGCTTATTTTAAGCCATTTTAATCAGACACAGCCATAAATAAATTTAAAAATAAAATAGACGCGCAGCGAGTCCGTGCGGACGCCCGCACATCAGAGAACAACACAGAGAACATGACAGCTACTTTGTGTCTTATATTGTGTCATTTAGTCAGATACAGACATGAAACTCTGGATTTCTCCATAATGAAGACTGTCAGTGTTGTTTACCCGCGTGCTTGTGCTCGTGCATGAAGTGTACCGTGCTGAAGCACACCTCTCCGAAGTGTGCCAAAGCCAAGGAAGTGTACCGTGCCTGAGCACGATATGGAGCGGTCACACTGGCCAAACGAACTGGACATGAAGCGTGCTTGGGCACAGTACGGATGGCCAGTGTGACCGCACCCTGAGAGAGGGTTTAGTCTCCTCTCTGTGAGGACATTTAAGTGAAGGTGTGAACTAACCACAGACACAGCAGGTCAGCATGAGGAGCAGCAGGATCCTGCACATCATCTTCTTCTTGTGAGAGGACACAGAGCTGAAGAGACACAAACACGAGGTCAAAGTTCAGTTATCTCAGGTGAGCAGAGACCCCGAATTGTCTTTTTTGTTTAGGAAGGTTCCTAACTGAGTGAAATGAAGCATTTAAGTGGCGGCCATGATAAGAGCCGTTTGAATTCTCTAAAAGCAAAAGGAAAGGTAGGTCAATGCTTCCTTTGTAACCTCCTTTAGGATACACTGGACCATCAAGACCACCAAAGGAGATGAGATATGATGCCCCACAATTCCTTTCATTGCAGATCATGTAAGGGACATTTTTATACAGATGATGTTTTATTCAACATATTGCATTCACTTAAGAATGCTTTGTGCAGTTGTACATTTGTATAAAACATTATGTGTAGGCTATATCTTCCATAAATGTAACAATTCATTTCATACAATCATATTTATTTTGATGTTGATTTCTGAGTGGACAGGAAGTTGATAGTTTCACTTTTCTTACTTGTAGCCTGGTAGTCTATATTACTTTTATTTGAATTCCAACCTTGTGTTAATAAGGATTATTTCACCTGTAAGAAGTTTTTTAGATGCGTTTTTTGTAGTCCATTTTCAGAACATTGTAGTTTCACCACGGCAGACCTACGTCATTAACCTCCGTCGGCCCGTCACATTTAATTACGTCGTCTAGTGGAAATGTGGACAGATAGTCAGAGCAATGAGATCACCTTTCCCTAAGTCCTTTATGAATTCTCCTAACATCTTTCTTTAACCTCATGATGTTTTCCCTGGGGTTAAGGTAAAGTGGATAGTGAAAGGGGATAGGAGGGACAATTCAGATGAACCCCTACAGTCTGTCTGCGGTCACTGTTTAATCAGACAAGGTGACACATCTTCAACTACCACCAACAGTTTGCTGGTCAGTTAGTTGAAAATGATCGTGAGATGGATTTGTCTTCGGAGAACTTTATTTTCACTGTGCAGAATTTATTATGTCGACTGGAAATATGTGTGTGTGTGTGGGGTTTTCTGTAACAATTAAATAAAGGACATGAATTGTGAAATATTTCCTCCAACGCTGCGACCTTACTCCACCATTACAATCAATAGGAAGACTTTGTTCTTTGTGAGAGAAATACTTGATATGTTTCTGAAGGTGTGAAGCCACAACTCGCTGCCTCACAGACAACTTGAGGTGAGGCAGCGAGTTGTGGCTTCGCACCTCTCATTGGGTTGTGCCTCACCTCAGATTGTTCAATCCCAATTCAATTCAATTACATTTATTTTGTATAGCGTCAACTCATAACAAGTGTTATCTCAAGACACTTTACAAAAAGCAGGTAAAATACCTTACTCTTTGTCTGTTAACATTACAAAAGAGCAGGTAAAAAGACCTTACTCATTGTTATGTTACAAAAAGCAGGTAAAAGACCTTACTTATTGTTATGTTACAAAAAGCAGGTAAAAGACCTTACTCATTGTTATGTTACAAAAAGCAGGTAAAAGACCTTACTTATTACTGTGTGTGTCCCACCCTTTTGGTTTCTTACTGTTTGTCACCAATGTAATGTTTGTAGACACCCTCGTCCTG